ACCCGGTTAGGGCCTATCACATCTTGGGGTAACAATTACTCCAACTTAAGAGGTAATATCACTAGGGGTCGAGATTCTACACTCACGGGTTCTCGCCAGGACAGCTCTTCCATAGAGTGTCACCGTTGTCATGGCAAGGGTCATATTGCTTCACAGTACCCTCAGCGTACCTTGACCACTGACTAGGGGTTAGAGAATTCACTTGACAGAGGGGATGTTGACCAAGAAGTTGATCTTTTAGATGAGGAATCCCTAGAGTTACTAGAGGAAGGTGAGGAAAAGTGGCAGATCGATGGCACCCATGTCAGTGTGATGCAATGCATTTTATCCACCCCTTCAGGCACAGAAGCATGGAAATGCACTTGCATTTTTCATACTCTAGTCCGATGTGGGGGTCAAGTTTGCAAGGTCGTCATTGATGGGGAAGTTCATTGAATGTCATCTCTAAATCAGCTGTAGCTTAGTTGTAGCTTAAGCCAGAGACACACCCATAACCTTACAAGGTTGCATGGGTTGACAAGACCTCTTTACCAGTCTCACGGAGATATTTGGTCCCTATTCAGATGGGTGACTATTCAGATCATATATGGTGTGATGTCTTACCTATGGATGTCGCTCATGTCTTGTTGGGTCGCCCATGCCTTTTTGATATAGATGTGACAAACTATGGGAAGGAAAATACCTATGTTTTTAAGCATAAGGGAAAAACTATTAAGTTAAAACCTACAAAACCCTCAAAAGGTAAAAATTCAAAGCATAGGTCATCTTCTCCAGTAATTCACAAGAAAGACCTTTACATCTTGACCCATAGGGAATTTGAAAAAGAGAGAAAAGAGTCTGGTATAGTGGTAGCTCTAGTTGTCAAAGAAGTTGTCCAAAGTTCTTTGGAATCTAAAGACATTCTTTTGCCTGAGGTTGATAGTTTATTAAGAGAGTTTTATGATGTGATTCCTAAGGAACTAACCGATGAGTTACCACCAATGAGAGATGTTCAGCATGCTATTGACTTAGTTCCAGAATCTCGGTTACCTAATTTTTCCCATTATCGTATGAATCCCACTGAGTGTGCTGAACTCCAAAGGCAAGTAGATGGACTATTGCAAAAGGGGTCTGTTCGTCATAGTCTTAGTTCATGTGTTGTCCTTGCTTTGTTGACCCCTAAGAAAGATAGCTCTTGGAGAATGTGTGTTGATAGCCATGCCATTAACAAAATTACAGTCAAGTATCGATTTTTATATCGAGACTTGAAGATTTGCTTAACCTTTTGGCTGGTACACTTTGGTTTTCCAAAATTGATTTGCGTAGTGGTTATCATCAAATTCAAATTGGACCAAGAGATGAATGGAAAACGTCCTTTAAAACCTAGGATGGACTTTATGAGTGGTTGTTCATGCCTTTTGGATTGTCTAATGCACCTAGCACATTTATGAGGGTTATGACTCAGATACTACGTCCTTTCCTAGGAAAATTTGTGGTGGTCTATTTTGATGACATCTTGATCTATAGTCAGTCTAAAGAACAACACTTGGATCATCTTCGACAGGTTTTGCAGACATTACGGGTGGAAAGATTTTATGCGAACCTTAAAAAGTGCTCCTTTATGCAATCTCAAGGGTTTTTTCTTGGATTTGTTATTTCTGTGCAAGGTATTGCAACTGACCCAGAGAAAATTCATGTTATTCGGAGTTGGCCAGTGCCACGAACAATTTCTGAGGTTTGAAGTTTTCATGGTTTGGCCTCCTTTTATGGACGATTTATTAAGGGGTTTAGTTCCATTATGGCTCCCATCACAAAGTGCATGAAAAAAAGGGGAGTTTCAATGGACTCTTGCTGTAATTAGAGTCTTTCAAGTAATTAAGCACAGAATGACAGAGGCACCCGTTCTTGGTTTGCCAATTTGGTGGGTCAGGGTTTTGCAATTGAAGCTGAGAATAGAGTACTCTCATAGAGTAATAGCTAGTGCACACGCACCTTTCATGTGGATGATTGTGAGGAAGGTGATTTTCATTTTTATTTGCATCCATTAAAGTGCTCGTGGCATTTTTCATTGTATAATTATGCCAAATTTAATTGGCACGGGCAAAACCATCAAATATACATTTTTATTATATAAATTGAAAACTAGAATAAAAATTTGGAATATCTATCAATTAATTAAAAACAAACATTTAGCAATTAATATAGTTGACATTCTGTGAATAAATTGCTAATAAAACTGAACCTATTAGTCAAAAAAATAGTCAGAGATGCCTTGCGTGCAGGGAGAGAATCCTAGGATTATCATTCCTATAGCACATATCTAAGTCTCTTGCAACATGTACCTATTCTCCACTGTTTGTTGGTCCAAAAAGATAAGGTGAGACATATTATTATGTGTTGATGTGGCATTATATTATATACTTAAAAGCTCATTCATTGATGGAACACCAAACTTCTTCAATGTGAATGGCAATCTAATTCAGGTTGATTAATTGCTTTTGATGTGAGAAAAAATCATTAACACTATTGGGAAAGTTCCGACGAAGGCAATTTGTTATAAAAGTTAATGTTAGGAAGCCTACCAGTCTCCCAGTGCCAATTTTGGTAATCAGCTCGGCCTCACGCAATGGGCTCTTGGATAAAGGTCGAAGGATAAGGTTTTCCTTAGCCGATCTCCATTTGGAGGGAACAAGGTTAAGATCCCTCATCCCAGAGGAGTCTCAACCTCCTTAACAATGACAAAGTCTGCCTTAAAGAATGATCAGGAAGATAAGACTCCCTAGATAGGAGTCTAATTTCCCAACAACAGCTAGGGGAGACTAGAGTCCATTCTCCTAAGGAAACTAATTCCCAAATCCAAGCTAACCGTTCAAATTCCAAAGCAAAATAATCCACACGGATTTAGGCACTAAATGGAGGATATTTTGATTCGGGAGGAGGCTTAGCTGGTCTTATCAATTACTGTACAGCCCAAGTTCTTTCAATTCAGCTGGTCTCCTAGGTAACTGGCCTATCCACTATAAACTATACACTTAGGAATTTAAAAAGATGCATGTTTAGGATAATTTACTTTTTACTAATTTGATTTTCTTTACTTATTTTATGTAATTAGATGGTATCGAGGGGTAAGATACATACGTCTTCCTTAGCTAGGTGTAATTTAATTTTTACAAATTAATAAAATTTTCTCGCACTGTCCAGGTCCCCAAAAAAAAAAACTATAAAAGGGAGCTCAGGGGAACATGAAAGGTTTCCAACTCTGGTCTTAAATATGTTTCTTTAGTTTTCACCGGATATTGACTTAAGCATCTGAGGTTGACCCTTGGAGCTCTGCCCTCCGGTCTTCGATTTCTTTGTAGGATTTCTAGAGTTCAGAAAGCTGACTAGGACCATCGGAGAGCTGACGTGGACCCTCATAAATCTAACTTGGAGATTGATAAATATTAACTTAGCTAATGTGGAGGTTGGGGCAAATTTTGCGTCAACAACTTTTATGGCTAAACTATGTAATCATGCGAAGAGATTGTAGAATTCACCTAACCCGTGGCCTAGGTGAAACTCATGTGGCCTTTTAAATTGAATGCTCCACTTGCAAATATTGGGAGACGGTTAAGGGGAGAGGGAGACAAAGAAAGAGGTAAAAGGGGGAGTAAAAATTTTAGATTTATGTTACATCTAAGCTATTATGTTACATTAGAGTCCTGCTAATGCTATATGAAGAGAGATTGGAAAGAAAATAACGTACATGAAGATAGCAGTAGAGATCCACTTGTAATAAATAACCTATCAAATACATTTTTTATTAGAGACCTGATGTTTTATGAATGAGCAGAACGAAGAATATAACCTAGAGGAAACACCCAAATATTGCACCAAGGAGGGTGATCAGATAGAAAATTTTGGAGGATACAATAGCCAAGCCAACTCTTTAGAAGTCATAATGGACCCAATATCATGAAGGGGAGTTATACCATCGAAATCAAATTCATTAATCCGTAATTGAGATCACCTCCTAGGGCCATGACTATTATGAGCCACTGGCAAATGAAATTACATAGAGAATGAGGTCATCTCATAAAATCGTGGCAAATCTCAGATGTGTGTTTTGAAGGATAAGAAAATTAGCCATGATTGAAATCAAACTTGTATTTGAGGACATAATTGACTTTTTGAAATTGATTGGGCATAAAATAGAAAATTCCCAATAAGTAAAGTAGATTAGAAAATTCTACTCTTAATCTTTGTGATTGCTTGATACTAGGTGGTCCATTGGTGGTGGTGGGCTGGACCAATCTATTAGCTTATGGTGATATGGTCTCCTCATTTTAGACATCTTAGATATGTTCTCTTCTTCGGAGGCAACATCAAATAAGTTCGTAGATTGGCCAATGGCAAGGCAGATGTGTTGACCGAGAGTGGGGCTCTTCAGTTTGTTATGATGACGCGTCATTCTTACCCGAGTAATGCTACATGGACTTAAAAAGTAGATTTAAAAACTAGACTTGATAATCTCAACTATTGATTTTACTGTAAGTCCCACCATTTATTGAGACCCACTATCTATTCAATGGTTGAAATTATCAAGTCTAAGTTTTAAGTCTACTATTTAAGTCCATGTAGCATTACTCTTCTTACCCCTTGAGATTTTTAAACTTTCCCTTTTTATTTCACTTTTTTTGACGGGAGGATTGTTGAGTAAGGTGCATTTGAGCTTGTTCTCAACTGGTGTTTTGAATTGTATATCTTTTGTGCATTATATCTGTCCCCTCTCTCTCTCTCTCTCTTCCTACATCACATTGACAATCCTCCACCCGCCCTTCAACCATGTAGTATCCAATTGGCATCTAAAATATTCTGGTTACATTGAATATAATATTTACGTACTTACTCGATTATTGTCAATGTATAAGGGTTTGCAGAATGTAGAAGTTTTGGAAGCTTAGGCCAGCAAGAAGGAATTGTCTCTCTCACTGCTTGTCGTAGCAGGCTGCATCCAGGTACTCGATACTTGGCAAGGGGCCTAAACTCATGTTATAGCACAGGTATCATAACGATATGGATCTTTAAGATTATCTTGAATCATTTGCTTGTTGGAAAATATATATGTTCTGTGTTGTGGGAGGAATCAGTGAATGGATATAGTTTGTTGGTGAGAACCTGTCTTCAACTACACCTTGGTTTTAGATTATATAGTTTACTATTTATCTTTTGATCGATCTAAATACATGCTTGAGATGGCTCTTGGCAGTCCAAACAGCATGTCTGCGCTGCATTACCATTGATATCGTGCCATTGCTGGGAGATTGCTAACCTAATGTTTTGCTTTAGGCAATAAAAGTAGTTTTGTTTCATTTCAATTCCTTCATTAACAAGGCATATGTCCATTGACAATATGCTTGACATGACTTCTGTCATTGGATACTAGACTTGCGCATCAACTTGATTTGTGTAATTAGCTTATGGATTTACACCATTTTAGTAATTTCTCATTGAAACTCGAGCTGTACAACATTGAGGTGGATAATCTCAAGGTGTTAATGATTGGTCCCTGCTAAATTATAATTGATAGCCTGTTAAGTGTTCTGGCCGGGAGTGGAGCTTTACATACCTATGACTTTCTGATGGAACAAATTAGTGAAGATGCTGAATATCCTTGTTCTTTAGCAATGGGTTCCCAAAAGGGCTGGTCAAAGTGTTCCTTTCAACACATATTTGGCGGCAAGGCACTAGTCCTATCTGGTGGGGTGCAGAACTAAAGATCACTGCTGCAGAAGCAGAGATATATGTTTTAGATCGTGATCCTTATAAAGGAAGTGCACAATACTATCAAAGGTTAAGTAAGAGATATGATGTACAAAACCTAGATATAGAAGCTGCTGAGAATCAGAAGAAAAGTGCTTTGGTTCCAATTGTGTGTGTCAACTTGCGTAGGAATGGAGAAGGAAAATCTGAATCTCTTTTAGTTCAGCATTTTGAGGAATCCTTGAACTATATTTGATCAGCTAGAAAACTTCCTTCTACTTGCATTCATTTGATAAATTATGATTGGCATGCCAGTATAAAATTGAAAGGTGACCAACAAACAATTGAAGGACTTTGGTATCTTCTAAAAGCACCCACAGTATCTATAGGCACTTCGGAAGGGGATTATCTGCCCTCGCGTCAGAGAATTTGGGATTGCAGAGGTGAAATAATTTATAATGATGGCTTAGATGGTGCATTCTGCTTAAGATCACATCAAAATGGAGTGATTCATTTTAATTGTGTGGATTCTTTGGATAGAACCAATGCAGCTAGTTATTTTGGTTCCCTCCAAGTTTTTGTAGAGCAATGTAGAAGGCTAGGGATATCACTTGATAGTAATTAGGCATATGGTTATCAGTCGACTAATAATTATGGCGGGTACATTGCCCCATTGCCACTAGGATGGGAGAAACGCTCTGATGTCGTGACTGGGAATGCATATTATATTGATCATAACACTAGGACCACGACATGGAATCATCCTTATCCAGATAAACCTTGGAAGAGATTTGACATGACATTTGAAGAGTTTAAGAGATCTACCATCTTGTCACCAATATCTCAACTAGCTGACATTTTTCTGCTTGCTGGTGATGTTCATGCGATATTATATACTGGTTCAAAAGCTATGCACAGCCAAATTCTTAGCATATTTAATGAGGAGGCAGGCAAATTTATACAGTTTTCTGCAGCCCAGAATATGAAAATCACTCTGCAGAGAAGATATAAAATGCAATTGTTGACAGCTCACGTCAGAAGCAATTGGAGATATTTCTTGGACTAAGGTTGTTCAAGTATCTACCATCAGTTCTAGTTCATCCATTAAATGTAAGTCAGTGGTAGATTTTATTTAATAGCTTGACGGGTTGTTCACTTGTTGTCTAAACTTGTTTTTTTGCTTTGTGATTCTAGTGATTTTGTCTTTTTCTTGACTGTAGTTTGGATTGTTTTTTTAGATAAGAGGTTTATACATTTTTCTACTACTCATTTGTGTGCTTTCCATTTTTCAAGCCCACACTTCCGTCCAATTTCAGTGTATCTTGAACTCCGAAACCTAACTGCCATCTTGTGTTAGCTTGAGACAATCGATCTCTAGTCTGTTAATAATTGTGCCTTGCTCTGACCTTGTGTCAGGCATACAGCTAGTTTCTACATCATAAGTTTACTTTTTTTCTTTCCCCATTCGTGCACCTTGGTCAATGCCTGCATATTGTTCTCTTCCTATGGCTTGACTTTGTCTATTGGTGTAAATAATAACTCCTGATCTTGGGGGTGGTGAGGGCTGGACTGCCCTGTCTGCTTCCTCACTGTTATACGTATGTTTCTTTGTTCAAATCATTTAAATCTGTTAGATAAAGCCAATTCACTTTCTTTTGTCTCATGGATAACTTAGTAGTTTGGGTTTATTTTTCTCTTTGCTGAGAATGTGTGGTTTACTTAGCGGACTTCTATATTATCATCCAGTTCTCCTTTTCAGTGGAAAACCATTTGGTTTATCTTGTCATCCGTCCTTGCAATATTGTGGATATTGCTACTTGCAACTAATGGTCATTGCCCAATATGTGCGAAGGTTCCTAGGTTGGAGCAATTGCAGGGCCATAAAGTGAAAAGACAAAGACAATTCAAAAAGATCTGTTAAGGTTAGAAGAGAAAGTGGTTAACATTTGTGGAGTTACATCATTTATAGCCTGATTGAGATAATCCAAAATTTTCTTGTGTGAAGACATTTGTGAAATTGCATTACATTTCCTTAGTTTTGCTTGCTAGTTTTTCACGTGGATTTGCAAATGCAGATTTTGTTGCAGGTTTTGAATCATCAAATCTAATATGTGAAGAATATGATTAGTTGGAAAATAATTTGACCAAATAAGGGAAGAAAGCCTTATTTTGAAGCATTTGGGACTTATTGTATGCTGACTGGTTATTGATTTGGGACTTCCAGTTTTAGCCCTAGGAAAGGTAGTTATTAGGTGGAGGTAGTTCAAGGATTCGCTGCATAGAGTTTCACAAACGTCAAAGAATGATTCTAGGGTGCTGTAGCTATGTAAGAATCGCAGCTGGATCCCTCAGGTATTATGCCATGGGTGAGGGTTGCTCACACAATTTGAAAAGCTCTAAAATTTTCAGAATTGGTCTGCATCAAACTTTCAAGAGTCCATTTGCATATATAGACTGTGGGCGATCTCTTGTAGCAATTTAGGACCATGACTGATAGGAACTCATTGCTTTTACATACATAGCTCACCTGAACCAATTATAAACCAAAAGACCTCTCACCTCTGCCTTAGTTAAGGCCACATGTAAAAGTAAGAAAATGCTCTTTGTTGACTGTATAGGCTGTAGACAATCATGATAAATGCATATTTTTTTTGGTGAGAACAGAAAATCCTTGTGAAAGACACACCTAAGAAAGTAAGTTTTTTTTCGTGCTTGCAATACCTATAGTTTGATCAATTTGGCACAAAACAGCAGCTTGAAATCATTTTAAATTCAATCCAATTTCTTTGCAATGGCAGCCAGTGAGTAAAGTCCAAAATTTTTTGTTGTTGTTTTATTTTCTTGTATTTTCAACGGCAAATGGGTATTTGGATAATTTATACATACCTCTATTAACCTCTTTTTTTGCCTGTTTTTTCTTTGATTTGGTCAAAAATAAATTATCGATGTCGAGATTAAGATATTTATGAAAAATAATTCTCTTGTGGTTTGACTCCAAGGAATTGCCCAAATTTGAACTGAGAATGTCTGAATTTATAGTTCGTCACCGCTACCACTTGAATTACTCTTGGGGTTCCAAAATTTGTGCCTAGCAAAAATAATAATAAAGAATTATGCATTCCAAATAAGTTTATTAAATATTATATCTAAGGATCAAAATTTTCTTTTGAAACAGTTATAATATTGAAATTTTAATATTTTTAGGTATTTCATAATATTTCGAGATATTTTGTAATATTTCAATACTTTTGCATAATTATTTCGAAAAATTTCAAAGTATTTTAAGATATTTTGATATATTTTGACTAATATTTTGAAAAAATAATTCTTAATTTTTTTTTATTTTTTTCATTCTGTTTTTAAAATTATGCACCAAAACAAAATTTTGATCCTTAATTTTTTCTCAAAATGATGTGGAAAAACTCTTATGTATAGAATATTTAGTGAAAATTAGGTGGGATACATTAATCCAACTACTTATACTAATTTAATATACAAAATTTGTTAAATAATTTGGTAAATATGCCAATCTTGGTAAAAAATACCAAAAAAAGTGCAAACTTTGTATAGGTCAAACATCTACCCCTATCTTCCTATGCCGTGTTTGGATTAATATTTTTGTGAAAGTGACCAATTTACACTCAATGAGTCGATTATGATGAGGTTGCATTGAAAAATATGCAATCAAAACATTTCTTGTCAATCATGCGTTTTGAAAGATCTGGCTGGCAAGACAGACCCATTGCTGCCTTCTTGTCCTGCATTACCCCAAGATTTTCTATGAAAAAAATTCTTTCTAAGTGTGGATCATTGGAGGGGTGAGCAGTGATTTCTCCTGAAAATCTCTTTTGGGTGGGTAATTTAATAAATTTTAACTTTGTTCATCGACAAAATTAGAATAATACATGTATATATGTCTTAAAAATTGTAGAATGAATTCTTTAATTCTATTATTCAAGTGAATATTTCTTTATCTATATAATAAGAGAAAGACAATATGAAAATCCTAATTGTACATGAAAACAACAATTTTATTTTCTAGTACTCCCTCTCAAGTTGGTGCATGAAAGTTTGTAATGCCCCAACTTATGAGTAAAGTGATCAAATACTTTCCAGATCAAAGGTTTGGTAAAAAAGTCTGTAATCTGATCACAAACAAGGAGGGGTGCCATAAAAATTTATTTTCCTAATAATATGCTTAAATTATAGTTTATATTAAGAATTTATTAAACATAAGAAGGTCAAAAAGACAGAGTAACCAGTGTGTACAAAAGAACTCAAATTAATAATAATAATTATTATTATTATAACTCTTTACTAAAAAAATGAGGTTGAATGTAGTTGTTTACAATTGACACAAATGAGTTTTGATACATAAAGATTAAAAATTGAAAGTTTGCTATCTAAAGATTAAAAACAGTGTTCTTCACCAAAAGAGGGAAATGAGAAGAATATAAATAATCAATATTATAATGGGAGAATTACACCCAGGTCTTTTGAGATTTATTATTTAATTACTCGGATCGCTAACATTTGAAATATTATACACAAATTCTTTGAAATTTGTACGTACGTAACACTTAGACCTCTGCCGTCAATATTTGTTAATATATTTGTTAGTAAATTATATCTAGACCCCTTAAAATTTGCAGGCATATAGTAGTTAGACCAAAAATACTCTAAAATATGAAAAATTTTAAATTTTACAACCAAAATTCATGTTCTATTGTATCATTTATTGAAATAAAACCAAAAATAAAAATACAATTTTTTCTTAAAAAATTGAAATTTAGTATACAATTATACTTTTTTTTGGAATAAAATTAAAAAAAATTAAATAAGGGATTTAAGTCATTCATAATAAAACATGAATTTTACAACCAAAATTTATGTTCTATTATGTCATTTATTGAAACAAAATCAAAAATAAAAATCTAATTTTTCTTAAAAAATCATAATTAGTATAAAATTACAATATCTATTAGAATAAAACTAAAAAATTAAATAAGGAGTCAAATTGTAATAGATATAATATTTTATAGCTTTAATTTAGATAATTTGGTAGATTAATTTAGTCGTTTAGACGACCAAATTAAATTTCAATCGATAGTATAATTGTATACTAATTATTATTTTTTAAGAAAAAAATTAAATTTTTAATTTTAATTTTATTTAAATAAATGTCATAGTAGAATATGAATTTTGGTTGTAAAATTAAAAATATTTGATATTCTATCTATGATTAATGTATTTTTGGTCTAACTATACTATTTTAAACTTAAAAGATTTAAGTATTACACGCTTATAAACTTCAGGGAGTCTGGGTATAATTTATTAAACGGACGTTGACGGCAGAGGTCTAAGTATTATGTATGTACAGACCTCGAAGGATTTATGTATAATATTTTAAATGTTAGAGAGTCTGAGTGATTAAATGACAAAACGACAAAACTTAAGAGATCTGAGTGTAATTTTCGCTATTATATTTAGTACTAGAAACCCTAAACACGGGATTTATAACTTTATATAGCAATGTACAACATGCATTATATGTGAACAATTTAAATAATATTTTTTTTTGTTGAATCTATAAAGAAATAAATTTGGTGTCAAAAAATTAATCTATATTTTATTTCTTGGTAAACCTAATTATTAAAAAAAATATAACATATATTTGATCTTAGAATCCAATTTGATAACTATATGTGTATAGCAATATAATATAGATTTGTTTTTACTTCTTCAAATAGATATAGACATAGATATGAAAATTTTATATAAGTGTACTACTTATAAAGGAGTCTAAGAAAATTTAGAAGTCAAATATTTCTTATAAAAGATTTAAAAAAAACTTGAAAGGTTATAAGGATATAATTAATTTTATAAAAATTAGGCTAGTAATACACGACGTGCGTTGTACATAAACATATTTAAATAATATGTTTTGTTAAACTTATAAAAAAATATAGATTATATATGTAATTGAATTGAATAAAAAAATTATATGTCAAAAAATTATTTATTACTTTAATTTTTACTAACCAAGTTATTAATCTATATATGTATTATACAATAAATTGAGTTATAAGAGTTACTATATTAATTAAAGACCTCAAGCTAT